TCGACTATAATCAATCATCATAAATCCACGAAAGTTCAAATTATCCAAACCTTACATTTCAAAGCAATAAATAAATACTTGGGCAGCGCAATATATCATCGTAGTATTGATTGATAAATAAATTAAGGAATAAATTTTAAAAAATTCTAAGGTAAAATGCTTGTGATTATGAAAATAAATTAAATTATAGATATAATATAAAGAAGATTTTATTTAATAACAGTATAAAAAAAATTTTCTAAGAGTTAGAAATTGTGTTAAATGTAATACAAATTGTTTTCAACGAGCTGCAATTACGACAAAGACCTATTTTGAATTTAATTAATTTTTTCCCTAAAACTGTCGATATATATATATATATATATATGTTTTTGGTATATAATAAAGAACTTAATCAAAATAATTAATAAATACAAAATTTATTAATTTGTGAAGCTCGAACAAATTTATCTGTAGAGTTGTTAAAAAAAAATATAAAAAAAAAGACTTTAGAAATAATAATAAATTCTGACCTTCCGAAGTAAATTAAGATTGTGTAACCAGTGTTGCGCAAAGTAATATGCAAAGTTTACGGTTTTTATGTAAATTCAAATAATAAATAGTTCAGCTTCTGAGAAAGTTCTAAAACTATTTATGAATGCAGCTTTACATGAACTCATATATTTTTGATTCGTTACATAATTATTCAAATTTATATATAAAATCAGTTATAGATTTTAATTATTTTAAAAAATAACGGTGCTCTAATTGAAAAAATCGTGTCTCTGTCAATGTATGAAATAATTATGTTTCAAATGATTTTAATATCAAAAAGATCTTCATTTTATCTTCGTTATACTTCATCTTCCATTGAGAATCCTCACTATTTCTATAAAATTCGGTCTTCGTGAATAATCAGACGAGCTTTATAAAATAATTCCAATATTACGCACACAAATTCTATACAGATAATATTTACAATTTTTCGTTGAAATGTAATTTTAATTGGCAATAGTAATAACAAATTTTTAGAATACGGTGATTAAACATTAACCATACATTGCGGATACAACGCGTTTTCTTTGTCTTTTAAATGTCTCGTAAGTCCTCTATTACTACATTATAATTGCGTGTGTATTTTAGCTATTTAAGCTATTTAAAGTGAAAATTAGAAGAAGAATTATACAATATTGAAAAATAGGGAGTGGAAAATTACAGCTTTAGCTCATCTTTCGTTGAATTATAATTAAATAATGCGTTAGAGCCTGACAGACTTTTTTTTCTTTATGTTTATGAAATTTTTTTTGAATAACGTAACTCAATAGTGAGAATCAATATTAATAGTTTTATTTTTCATTTTGAAATAATTTCAGCTCGTTATAATATAGCAGCATAACATAGCAATGAGGGAAAAACAAAATTGAGATAATTAATGATTCGTTTACTTTAACCGAAAGAGTATTTAAAATATTTTTTATAAAATAAAGTTATACAGAATTTCAGAAATATTATACAGAAATGTTTTACATATTTCTATATGAAAATTTTCAGAATATTTTCATTTATGAATAACGTTATCTTTAACCTAAATTAAAAACTAAATTTTAAAAATTGCCTACCAACCAGTATTTGTATACTTAAGAATGCATGATCTACGTGTAAATATGTAAGATATAGATTGTATGTAAATTAATTAATTAATGAGCACTCGTTAAGCATTGTTCGGTGTAAATTATTTGATGTAAATGTTGCTGTCTCTACAAATGTTTGAAATATATTTGAAAAAATCTTTTAGTTTAATCACAATGTCAAATACGACGATTTAACAGCTGAAAATTCATGACAAACAATTACTTCTTATCTATGGAGGTTCAATTTAGCACCAAAAATATAAAAGCAAAATCATTCGAAGTAGTCGATCATCTACTACATCTTAGATGCAATAATAAATTAAAACGACACCAGCATCTCGAGGATCTATAAATTATTGGATACATAATTCCACGGAGTTGCGTCGTTACGATCGTAACATGGCGGCGGCATTTATCGGGGGCACGTTTACACAAATATTCTCCGCTAATAAATCAACATCAAAGCATTTGTTTCATCGCGTATCTTATGAGCGACGACGGCACTTGACCTCACCTACACCACCACTACGACAAAAGTTCGCATCAATTAGTTTAGAATTTAAGTCACCGACAAAAGAACAGCTCGCGCGCATCAGCCAAAAGTCGGCTGCCAACATCCGCTACTATCCGTATTCATAAAATTTCCTCGTGGATATCCGGCGACTTTGACAATAAAGGCGCGAAAGCGAATCCCCGAAACCGCGACCACATCCTTCGTCTTCCGAAAGAGATGTGAGCGACGCAACGTGAGTATCCCCTTACTCACTGCGGAAATCCGCATCTTTCGTTCAATGATAAGCTTGGTACTTGGCATTGCGAAACACCATCTCACAAACGCGCGCACGCGCACGCACACACACACAATATATATATATATATATATATATATATATATATATATCACACTCTTAATCACGCCGATGGGATGAATGAGCGTCGCGGGTCCTTATAATCGGCCGATGACGTCGAGAGCTCGTGAAATTTAATTTAGTATCACGAGAGTGAGCAAACTCCATTAGATTCGACAGCCACACACGATTCAACTGCGGACTGAATGCCATTCAAGCGCTTACAGAGACAACTTTTGCCTATGGCTGAGGATATTTCTGAATAGCCTGTTTTTTTCATCCCTCTCGATAAACTGTTTTTCGCAATTTTATTTTAACGCGAGCAGCTTGTTTCATAATCGCTTATCGCAACTATAGACTTTAAAAGCTTTCAAACTTTCAACACATTTGAGCACTTATTACAGGTATTTCGAGCTATCGATTCTCGAAACTGATGATTCGGCAAAGTTGGATGCATTGTCACACATATTTTTTTATAATTCCCAATCGAACGATATAATTTATAATCTATGGCAAAGTCATTTCAATCGGACAACAACTCAACAATTTAATTATTTGAATGAATCATACGTCGCCAAGTGCAATTTCAATGCAATACTCGTTAATTAAATTACTATTACAAAATATTAATCCAACGAAATTAAAGTTGAAAAATACAAAATTGCCGATGGTATATTGTTGTTTATGTCAGAGGCCTATCTCAGTAAAGCCTCTATAAATCTTAGAAATTAAGTTTTCATAAATGCAGCATAATTTATTATCGCTAAAAGAAACTTTAGAGGTAAAGTATGATACGTATAAGGTAAAATAAAAATAAAAACTAGCCAACCTACAAATTATTCTTCTACTTTGCTTGAAATTATTTCCGTAGTACATTGAAACTTTAGAGCAGACTTAAAAGACAATTAATTTTTATATTTACGTGTCTGAAGAATATATATTTATTCGTAACGAAAAGTACTCAACGTTTGTACAATCTATGTGCTCGATAAGCTTTATCACCTACTCGTAATTTTACTAAGCATATTCTTCCTCAATTTATCAATAAATATAATGAGCAAACGGAGAAAATACGGCGCGATGATTCCTCTGATCTCGTATATTTTAATTTACACGATTTTACACGAATTCACTCGATAAATCAAAAAGAAATTGCAAATTTATTGGCAATACACGTAAAAAAAATCACATTTTACCATTTTACTTACCATTAGGTTCTACATTAACTAGGTAATAACGAGTGGAGATGCACGTTTTTTTCTTTTTTTTTTTTTTTTTGTAAGCATAGCACTAAAATTTAAAAAACTTTCTAATCGCTTTGGATGTATTAAATACTAATAATGTCTAAGAAGAAGAAAAAGATTGTTGATGATTAATATGCTTTTTGTTTCTAATTATAATGTAAAATTATCACTACGTGTCCAAACAACGATTGCACGATACTTTTTTTAAAAATCAATGTCGTTAATAAATTTGTATTTTTGGACAGGAATATTGCGGGCAATGCGAAGACAAAAAAAAAAACAAAAAGCACGATAACGTAGACATTCGCACCTACACGTTATTATACAAAATCTACTGCCTCTTCGTTAACACGACGATAATATCTAAAATCTGTCAAATGACATTTCAATTTAGAAACTCATGCATTAATAAAACAAAAACAAAAACAAAAACAAAATCTTCGCTAATCTAATTTGAAAGTGGCATATACATGATGACAATGCTCTTACATTTTAAAATAAATAATCAAATATCATAAAGAAAAGTAGATTTTGCAAATTGAGACCACGAAAAGACATAATCGCCAAAAGTCGCGATATTATGATTTAGCGTGTGTATTTTTTACTAAATTCACTCACACCTCTCCATCCTGAAATTAACTGTAAAATGTAAACAAATACGGCTTCTTATGCATTTAAATAAATAGTATAGAATTATGAAAATATTATTCGTATTAGCATTACAAATACGCGTGTAGCTCGCCCCAACAATCGAAAATGATAAAACGAGCGATTTCACAGACCCCTGTTATCACCTCAAGTCAATTTAAATCGACAGTAATGGAATTACGTAGGTCGTGTCCGAAGTAACTGGCCGATAGAGAGAAAAACACAGGAAAGAAAGAAACAAGAAAAATCAGATTAACTATGCTCGCTAATCATTAGTCGAGGGATTTAAGGAAGTCTGGGGGAAGGGGGAGGGGGGAGGGGGAGTGAGGGGGAGAGTGATCGATCGGTGTAGACAGTTGTCGTTCGCGCTGTTTGTCCACCTTAAAACGTCATCGTCGTAGTTGGTAATTTTATATATAAAAACGAGGGGTGGAAGAGCTGTTAGAGGAATTCAGAGACAAGGACGAGGTTAGTAGATCGGGGCACCAATGGAGAGTAAAAATGAAATTTGAAAGTAACGCGAGGGACGGCCGCAATTTCCCAGACTTTGATGTCCGTATGAAGGAGCGTAGACTATTGTCCACGTGGCCGCGTGAAATCGGTTCCTGGGTCCGTGAGGCCCCGGGAAGGGTCTAGCGGAGAATTCTCACCTGCGGTTGCGGCCTGTCGCTGATAGTAGTCGCACTCGATGCAAACGGCTCGGGCATCCTCCTCCGCGGCCAGGAGCCCGTCCTCGAGCTCCTGCTGGGCCTGCGCCGCGACGCAGAGGTCCTTGTAGCCCTCGGGTGGGCTCAGGGTCTCGCGTTGCTGGTGCCTCCTCGACGGATTAACGAGGCTCGCCGCTCGTCTCTCCTCCTTCACCGGTGATGGCTCAACGGCGAGGACCGGCGGTGGAGGAGGCGGCGGCGGCGGATCCACGTCCTCTTCCTCCTCGTCCTCCTCGTCGTCCACGTCATCTACGTCGTCCTCCTCGTCCTCCTCGTCCTCCTCGTCGCACTCGTCCTCGGTGCCCCGCTCGCAGCCGGCCATCATTCCCCCATCGACGCCCTCACCCTCCTCGAAGCGCAAATTCAGCTCGGCGCGACATTCCTTGCAGTTACCCAGCCGTATCATCTCGTGCTCCTGGCAGCAGCAGTCGCACTCCTCCTCGTAATCCGCACAGCACTCCTCCTTTATCAGGATTATATAGTCCGCGGCGAAGAACTCGTTCATCTTCTCATTGATGACGACCCGGTTCTTCTGGCCCTTGGCCTTAACCTGGCCCGGCTTCTTCAGAAGGCTCTTGAGGACGCGTCCCGGATGGCCCCCGTCCGTCGTCTGACCGCCCTGGTCCTTCGACTCCTTGTGCACCTTCATTATCGCTCGGATTTTCAACTCAGATTTTCGCGAGCTCGATCAGGCTCGATTGGCCTTGGCCGGCAGCGTTACATCCCCTTCCTGGCCGCTTACAATGACTCGCGGGGCCTGACGATCTCCGACGGCATCGCTCGGCTATTGCCAGAGCTATCGCGATCGCTCGCGCACCTCCATCGGATTCGCCGATTCGACCTTTCCTATACTATTGCTATTTTGAAAGGACACGTGCGCGCCACTTACTCTCTTACGGGACTCTCCCGATCCTCGCTCGCTCTTCTCCGTATTACGACTTTACAGGCTCGCTGTACCTTATCTCCGCTCGCTTCCCCTTCGGCGCTATCGCGCCGAAACAAAACACGTTTCTCTTACCACCGCCTCCTCCTCGTCATCGTTCTCATCCTTCTCCCTTCCGGCCCCAAACTGCCGTCCGCACCTCCCTCCCCTCCGCTCCACCTTACCGAAACCGCCCCCTATCACCCGTAAGCCGCCACTCTCACACGCGCTTCTTCACCACCAACTCCGAGGACTTTACCCCTTTGTCTGTCACTTCGTTCGGAGCCTGCGAGAAGGCTCGAGATGATAAGACGAGGAGAATTGACGAGCTTGTCCAAGTCCTCGAGGCGCCCTTGGCTCCTTATAATAATGAGAAAGAAGCCGTGCGGACGTCGAAGCGAGGGGGAGCAGCGCGAAATCGAGAGATCAAAAGTAGCGTGGTCTAGGGATTTTCCTTGGCTCGAGGACGAGTCGATTCTCCCCCGTTGTCCTAATACTATGGCACGGCTCTCCTCTCGTTTTCATCGGCACTTCATTCGGAGTCTCCCGCTGCCTCCCGCTCTCTCTCTCTCTCTCTCTCTCTCTCTCTCTCTCTCCCCCTGGCACACACACACGCGCGCGCATCGGCTTTTTCTCCCGCGGCCAGACGTTTTTCTCCTCCGCTCGCTCCACCCTCACCACGAGCTTACCTTCCCCACCGTCGCTCTCATCCTTACCTACGCCGTGCGTCTAATCTTCCTCCCACCCCCTAACCGCCACCCCTCTCTCTCTCACTCTCTCTCTCTCTCTCTCTCTCTCACTCGCACTCACTCACTCACTCACTACCTCTCTATCCCCCTTACGCACTTGTGCAGACGCACGCGCGCGCGTGCGAAACACACAGCCACACGCTTGCAGGGTCGTTTCAGGGGATGCTTTAGTCCTCCCTCGTACCAACTCGCTCTCGGTCTTAGTCCTCTCCCTCACTCTCTCACTCTGTGTGTGTGTGCATGTGTGCGTCTCTCTCTCTCTCTCTCTCTCTCTCTATCTATTTATCTGTCTATATCGGTCTCTCTATCTCGGTTTCTCTCAGTCACTCCGGCTTCGCTTATCGATCAGCCGTACACGCAATATACAAGTCGCGCACGCTTATCCTCCTCCACGTATATGCACATGCGTGTGTGCGTGCGCGTTCACAACCAGAGAATCTTTGCGCGTCCTTACAGCCCTTGGTTTTTTTCTTTCTTCTCCGAGTCGCGTCGATGCTATCCTTTGCACTCTCAACTTCCTCGTCCGTCGCTCTCTTCCTCCCTCTCTCCCTCACCCTCTCCCCCACTCTCTCCCTCACTCTCTCTCTCTCTCTCTCTGTCTATCGAGCACGAGCAACCCCTCTGGAGTCGCTCTCTCTTTCTTACACTCTCTCTCTCTCTCTCTCTCTCTCACACACACTGAGTAACTCAATGGCTTCGTTACTTCATGCACCCTCCACAATTCGGAATGTCTTAGATCCCCCTTGGTGGAAATATTTCAACCCCTAGAAAATTGATGGTACCTTCAACCTTGGACTAGTTTCCCCAAAAACACTCGTCTTTCAAAAAATAAACCCCCGGCGTTATAACATCCGCTGCTAATAGGCTCAAAGCCCATCCGCGGCTCTCCCCTCGTCCCACAACCGCGGGCTCCAGTCCACACTTCCCTTCTGTCTTCTGCTCCACGGCAGCAGACGACGCGCGCCTCATCTACGGGAGCCACGACCTCGTGTGTTTCACGGCGATATAGAGCGGCGCGCGTCCGTGAGCGACACCGAACGACGCACAGCCGAGCCACGACTGGGACAACATCGAGATCGCCGTCGGCTGCTCAACGAGCGACGTCCCTCTCTCTCTCTCTCTCTCCCCTCCCTCCCCCTCTCTCTCTCTCTCTCTCTCTCTCTCTCCCACCTCGTTCCCGGCAACGCTCGCTGTCTCACTTTCAACGCCGACGCCGACACGGCCGCCGCTACCGTCGCCACACGGTAGTACGATATCCCACGAAGGTGCGCGCACACCTGCGCGATTGTCGGCGCTCCTTCTTTCCCGTCACACTTGCCGCTGCCCTCCAACTCTCAGCTCCGTGTAAATTGCGCCTGTGTGAGAGCCCCGAGTCCGACGGGCTCGGCTGCACACTGCCAGCGAAAATAGCTCGAGATGAGAAAGCGAATTGATAATTTTTATGTGCCGCGTTAATTTCCTATGCACTCGTCGTGCTTCTCGCTCCTCCTGCTCGCCCCCCCCCCCCGCTCACCATTGGCGCATTCGCGGCCTAAGGATACACGGGGCTGACATTAATGCGTGGCTTTCGAAAAAAAATAAAAATATCGATAACACACGTGTATGCTGGGCGCCCCTTTAATTTCGAGGGGCCCAACAAGGACCTTTAAACACGATTAATGAAAGTCCCGACGAGAGAGATAATCGGGTGCTGTTTGTTATGACCGCAATGCACCGAGCGCCAAGTCGCCTGCCCCAGCCTACTTTCAATATTTTTACGTTTTACATTGAAATGCCGGGGCTCGTGCGTTATTTCGACGAAAGTAAATGGAAGAAAATTGTCCGATTGTTTAATCGTCGACAAGGACTTGAAAGCAGTGGCAATGTATGGCCGGCAGCTTGTTGAATAGCAATTAAACGAAGGGGAATTTATCGGATTGAAAAATACTTGCCACTGGCCCATGGCAAACGAAACTATTATAATGCTTGGGAAAAGTAGAATTACAAAGCTCCGGTCTACCTGTTTCGATAGATATACGATCAAATACCTGGAGCATTGAAATTTCATTTCTGGCCAGGTCCATTGGTCAAATGAATTTCAGGATGCCGTTAGTCGATGCAGTGGATTAGGTAAAGATTAAGTAATATACTACCGGCTCGTTTAATTTATAAATGACAAGATGAATATCTATTTTTTTCTTCTTTTCTTTCTTTTTTTCGTTTTTTTTTTCGTTTTTTTTTTCGTTTTTTTTTTTCGTTTTTTTTTCCTTTTCATCGACGTCCTGTAGATAGGCACATGTCGCACGAACTCCATATTTACGACGACAAGGTAATCACTCTCGATAGCTTTAAGCAAGACAACGACCTTATGTGGGAGTTTTTCAATTAAAGAGTTTTTCACCTTTAACAGCTATTCTATCGATAAGCAAATTCCAACGATTCAATAAATTCAATAATTTCTAAATAAAGCAGACACTTTAACTTCCAAAATAATAATTTTCACTGTTCATCATAAAATCCAAAACCATAAAATCAATGGTTTGACAGTAATGATGATTCGGATATAAATTGAAAAATGGGATATTTTTTTCAACGTTGAGAATTAGAAAATATTTTATCCATAATGTTGCACAAATATATATATATATATATATATATACACATTTATTTACTTATTTAACTATTTGTTCATACTAAATATTATTGAAATAAATATTTGATAAAAAAAAAAAAAAAACTCGTTAATGATAAATAAATTTAAACAATTTGAAAATTTAAAATATAAAAATTACCAATGTTTAAGTGTATAATGAACGATTGCAATATCATATTAGACAGAATTAAAGTTTTAATCTTCTCTGCGTATCTGTAAATTTAAATTAAACGAACAACAGATTAGGAAGATTAATTTATTTTTTTTTTTTTTTTTTTTTTTTTTTTTTGCTAATTTCTTCTATATTAAAGAATATTGTAAATAAAATTTACAAACTTTTCCCCCAACATTACCAATTAATAATTTGTATAATTATCTTATATAATTATAAATGCTTTTTCCAACATTGCCTACAAAAAATATATTCCTTACAATAAATAATTAGAAAATATAAAATAATAGAAAATATGACAAAATATGACAAAATATGATTTTAATCGAACTAAATTCTGAATTTTCGCTAACATTGATATTTTGCAAAATTATATCTTTATAATAACTTAAGCTACTATAACTATACTATATATATACAAATTTATGATAAAAAAATTTGATTTTAACGATTTTCTTTGAGGAGTATATCGAATCATAACGCAGTATAAGATATTTCTCTATGACTTTATATTCCTATAATAAATTCATCAATATTTAAAATATAATTTGCCGATAGAAAGGAAAATTCAAAGCAGATGAAAGCTCATAAGCATGTTTTGCAATTCTAGTATTAGGAAAACTTGCCATCGGCCTTTGTTTTCTTACTATCTTATATCATGCACGAAAAATATAAACATATTATTAATAATTATTATTTAAATTATAAAATGAATATAATCTGTTATATTACTCAATAACTAAGGAATACTAATAACTATATATTATTTATTACTTCCTATTCACGTGTAACTGTAAAATGTCTTGTAAATAATGCTAATCAATGTCACCCTCCTGATGTAAAAACCATTTTTCTTAATACTCATATTAAGATAAGTATGAAATTTTATATTCTTTATTGAAATTATAATAAAGAAACTATCGTTAATCAAAATTATTATGATAAGCTTTTCTAATCTAATGTAAATATTGACTATAATCTAACGATATTGTCTTAGCTATGCGATAAGGTTTGCTTCTTACACGCATAATGAAAATTGTTATATTATTTTAAATATTTATCGCGCACAGTCTTAAATATATCCAATGACATTTATTCTTTTTCAACTAAAATCTTATTATTACGAGAAAAAATGCGTCTAATTTTTTTTAGCCACTTTTTCGATATTTTCTCA